CCCCCACCCCCACCCCCACCCCCTACCTACCAGCCTCATCCCCGCCTCCTTGACCTGTCCGTCTTCCCTTGACTGACCAACCCCCATCCTAATTCCCCACCTACACTCACCTTTACTGGCTCCATCCCCGCCTCCTTGACCTGTCTGTCTCCTCTCCACCTATCTGCTCCTTTATCCACCTTCCATCCGCCTCCCACCCCCTCTCTATTTATTTCAGAATCCCCTTCCCCTTCCCCATTTCTGAAGAAGGGTCCAGACCCGAAACGTCAGCTTTCCTCCTCCTCTGATGCTGCCTGGCCTGCAAGGCTCTCTCTTTAGCCAGATCCACTTTAAAGTTCACTCCTGAAATCTACTACCTAGCAGATAGACTGCAAGAACATTCACAGTTACTGAGAAATCTCTGATTTTCCAAGACCTTCACTCCAGTGAAAGCAACAACTCAACTAAGAAACATCAGGCCTTCAGTAAGATAGAAAATGACTTAAGTTATTTTTATTATCTTTTTTCCTTCCTCTGCAGTTGTTTTGGACTTGTGTGATGATGCTGCATGAGCCAAGTATTTGAGTAATCGTGTTTTAATTAACCACTGGAGCAAATGTGAGAGAAACAACATGATCTCCTTCATTTTTAAATACACAAAAGCTTACAGTCGGATTATTAAAACTCTCAATGGAAAGAAAGTATACATACCCACACACAAATATATTGATCACAGGCAATAATAGGAAATTCATAAAATTTGTCCAAGACTCTGCATTATAATTCTTAAAACATGAAATCTTGTTGTGTCACCTTTTCAGCTGTTAACTGGACTATTGATTTACTATTTACAAAGTTATCAATCTGTGCAAGATCACCCACACATACACACTCATGCACAAGGGCTGAGGAAAATAATCAGGTGCTCCATTGCTGCTCCTGGAGCAGACCCTGTACCAGGCCTGGGTTCAGCAGCTGCACCCTCAATGCAAGCCCCTAACATACTGTCCGGACCCTGTGTATCATCATAGAATCCCTACAGTGTGGAAACAGGCCCTTCGGCCCAACAAGACCACACTGACCCTCAGAACACCTGACCCAGACCCATCCCCCTATAACCCACCTGATCTACAACATCACGGGCAATTTAGCACAGCCAATCCACCTAACCTGCAGATGTTTGGACTATGGGAGGAAACCCACACAGACACGGGGAGAATGTGCAAACTCCACACAGACAGTCCAAGGCTGGGATCAAACCCGGGTCCCTGGCGCTGTGAGGCAGCAGTGCTAACCACTGAGCCACCATGCTGAATGTATTTCTTATCCTCACACACTCTCACCCTCACACATACTTTCGCACATGGATCCACAAAGAAAGAATTTCTCCAACCCTGCTCCTATTCCCCCATCCCAGCCCATTTGGAAAATTCTGGTGAGTGTAATGGAGAATAGAAATCTTTAAAGTACATACAGCACTGTTCCAGTGGATGTCCTCTTCACAATGATTCCAAATGGATCCTCAGAATATTCCACGGTATACAATGGATTCTTAGCTTTTCGCGTTGCCTTGGGAACATCGATGGGGACCTCATATCGTGGATTGAGGGAATCATTTATCTACGTTTTGTCACAAAAAGAGAAGAAAATCTATATAAAGCACGTGACTGCATTACCCTAGTTTCACTAGACCAGTGATGTAACAAAGTGTCAGTTTCTCTGGAGTGCAATAAAGTCATTGCTTTTTCTCTCCCACCCAAGAATCTTATTTATTAGAGTCAACATATAAATCTTAAACTGAAACAAGGTTGGGCTGATCATTTGTCCTAAGACTTGTGAAGGATGCTATATAAATAGATATCTTCCTTTTTTCCGAGACTAATAATTCAGACAATGAGAGTTTGAATTCTGCCATCTTGGTTTCAGATTGTGAATTGAATTTTTAAAAACTTTCATTGTAAAAACTGGTAATAAAATGATAACAACTATGAAGCTGGTGGATTGTTGCAAAAACTTGACTATTTCATTAGTGTTCTTTAAGGGAAGGAAATTTATCAATATCTGTGGCTCCAGTCCCACAGCAATGTGGCTGACTCTTACTCACCCTCTGAAATTGTACTAGAAATTACTCAGTTCTATCAATAGAAGAAAGCATTTATATAGCACCTTTCCCATCCTCCAGATGTCTCAAAGTGCTGCACAGCCTCTTATGTACTTTTTGAAGCATAGACTCTGTTGTAACAAGTAGTGGAATGTCATTAAAAACCCAACTGCTTCAAAGAAGGGGGAACCCTCAACCTGCCCTCATTGCCCCATACACACACGCAAGCAACAGCAGCACCATCCCGTCCAGGGATGGCTAAAGATGGCTGATAAATGCCAGCTTTGCCAGATCTCAAAAATTTAAAAGCAGCACCACTTCAGCTTCAGTAGAAATTCCCCACCTGGATGTGAAGTCTGTTGTCGGCTTCAAACATCACATTGAGTTGAAGTTTGAAAACATCCCGTGGGTAGTAGGTTTTATTCCATCGGAGCAGCTCTCCGGCTTCGCCCAGCTCTGTGGGGGTCTGGTTCCTCAGGGTGTAACTTGGAAAGTTGGGTGGGTAGAAGCACCAGGGTACCCCGGCTAGATTCGGGGGTACCTGGATAAAACAGCAGGCACGCTGCTCACACAGCTCCCGGGTGACCACTCGGTCCCTTTCGGGGTAACAGTCAAACCTATGACCTTCCAGGATCCCAGAGCAGCTGTCCAGACCTTTCCATCCATCCTCCTGCTCATTCCGGGGTAGCACATGACGTATTTCCCTCTCTGGACCCTCTGTCCATCTGCTGGCTGAAGGCCCGATTGTCCAGCATCGGTCCCAGGTGGCATTTAATCCGAGAAGAAGTATCACAGTGGGAATGGACACCCACAGGTACCAGTGTCGATGTTTACCGCCCTGCAATGCGGTTCCTTTGGCCATATGGTGAGATTTCATCCCCTCTTCACCCACCAAGAGATTCAGGAGGAACTCCTTCTCGTTAGCCTTCTCACCGACCCTGAAATAATTATAAAGAATGTAATTTATTTTATTTTCATCCCAACTTCTTCCCATTTCCCAAACTCCTGTTAAAGGGAGAGGTTAATGAAGCAAAGGTGCCCCTCCAGTACCTCACTATCTGTCCATTTGTCATATTGGATGTTAATGTGGGGCACAACCCAGGTCAATAGAATCCTGTCCTCAGCTAATGTCCACACAGCTAAACATGAATACTCGTATCCACACAAACACACAAGAATGCAAACATTGATGCAAACACGCACACTCTCATACAAGCACACGCACACGCACCCACACACCCAATTATTCATACCTTGCAACAGGAGTGACTGCAGTGGTCAGAAGTAGGGGACCCTCCACTGATCGGTCTACTGTCCAATTGATCAGCATAAAAGGTAGATCCAAGGACCCAGTAGATGAGACACTGCTGTATGTCAGGCGTTCACAAACTAAGGGGAGAAGCAAGCTGACATGCAAAAAAACTCTATTGCGACTGAATTTTCAATCATGCAGCACTTGCTTTCCAATAGTTGTCTTTTCACAATAAACAAAGGAGCTTAAACAGAGAGCAAACCATCTCCATTGTAGAATCCACTCCTCTGCTCCTTTAAGAGTTACAGTAAGTTATTCATTGGCAGAAAGGGCGGCAGCACCCTCACCTCGGAGACAGTACGTCACTCAGGAAAGCAGTTGAAACTGCTCATTCTCATTTGAAGGATGTGTTAAAATACTCTTGCAGACTGTTTACATCAATAATGAATAGAATCATTGAGTAATACAGCATGGAAACAGGCCCTTCAGGCCAACCTGGTCCATGCTGACCATGGTTCCCACTCAGCTAAGTGAATCATATGACAATATGCATGATTAAATTAAATTTGCATCGAGCCCTTGATGATATTGATGGCCATGGCTTAGATCAAGCCCAAGAGACTCATGTGTTAAGCCACCTTTTCCCTTAGATGCCCTAACTTCTGCATGCATTGTCACTGCAAAAGGATAAAATCTCATCTCTGCATCTCTTACTCTGGCTCCTTCTCCCCCAACTCGGTGAAATTCCTTACTTCTCTCAGCGATTCTCCAATATGGAGTGTTTTAAAGACGCATATTTGTGTTTCCCCCCTCTTTAATTATCCAGTTCCCTCAACCTCCTCTCCCACATTTTCATCCAAAGCACGGGGATGTCTAATTTTTTGAAAAAGTCAAGAGAAGAGTCACATGTTTGACAGAGAAGGAGGTCATGTGAAGGTTGCTCACAAACATAGCTGGTGGAACAGAAAGAGGGAAGTGACATGAAACAGGCAGTGTCCGTGGGAGGCTGATGCTCATCCACAAATGAGAACTGAAACAACGTCAATGGGAAAATATCTCACACAAATAGAATAGAAAGACAGAATTCCTTTAGTGGACCTCAGATCATCCTGGTCTAGACACATACAATAGTAATGGAGGTGTTAATAAAGGGTAGCAATTAATCTCCATCAACTAATTCGACACAGATCCCAATGAGATGAGTAAATCCCCAGAGGTGAAGGCCTTCAGAAACCTGAGTGCCAAAACTACCAGCTCTCCTAATCACTTAACCTCCTTCAACCCTATGCCACACTGGGATATCTCTATTCCATTACTTCTGGCTGCTTGTCCCAACACTGTTTAAATTGCTGCACCATTTGTGATAGCGCCTTCAGGCTCTGGAATTCCCTCCCTGAACCTCTCACTCTTTAAAACACTGTGTAAAACCTCCCTCTTTGTCCATGCTTTTGCTCATTGGTCCTAATGTCTCCTTATGCTATTCAGGGCCAATGCTCATTGGAGGAGTCTTTAGGACATGCTACTGGGTTAAATGTTCTTTAGAGACACTTAACCCATGATGATGGTGGGAAGGCATCACCCTTATCTATGTGCTGCAGGGATCCTGACAGGAATCTCTGTCTTACAAGGGGCCCTTTACATTTCCAGTGTTTACACCAGAGGCTTCAGGGCCAAACTGCACTTGTTTAACTATCAGCTGTGACCCCGTTATTGGTAGACTTCTACTAAATCAGATGTTCATGTGTTCAAGATCCACTCCAGAGATTTGGATATGTGACATAGGCTCAGACTCCAGAATCAAAACTCTTCATTTTTGCCTCATCATGTTCTCATCAAAGCCCAGTAATGAGATTCTCACAATCCTGGATGACACCAAGTAGCTAACGTTTGAATGAATAAAATCAGCAGCATTTTACTGTAGAAATGTGGAGCTGCACTGATGGCTCAGTGGCCTGTACGCTGCTCTCTGTGGCAGTTATCCCTACAGTCAGTATTAACTTTATCTCAGGGTCAGAAAGTCATGGGTTTAAGTCCCACTGCACAGACTCTGACACACAATCTGGTCTGACTCTTCAGTATAAAAATGAAAAAGAGTGCTGCATTATCGGAGCTGCTGTCTTTCGCTGAGAGAATCAATAGTGGTACGATCTGTGCTCTCAGGTGGAAGCTAAAAAATCTCACAGCACCAGTTCAAAAAATAGCAGGAAGTCCTCCCTGGTATCATGCCCAATAAACATCCCTCAAACAATATTACTGAAATCAAATTAGTTAGTCACCATTTCTTCGCAGTTAGTCTCATCAATGACCAAACTGGCTGTACAGGTACAGGAGGGGACCATTTCATCACTCCCACCCCAAGTCTGTTTGACCATTCAACATAATTTTGCCTGATTTTTGATCAAACTCTATATATTTGATTGTGCCTCATATCTCTCAATGTGTTTGATTAACAAAGCCTCATCTGTCTCAGGTAAGCATTTTCCAATTGATATTGCATCAATTGCAGAAGAAAGTTCCAATCATTCACTGCTGTTCACGTGTTGGAGTGTTTCTGAATCCATTCCTTATTAGGCTGACTCAAACATTTTGATTTTTCCTCAGTTCTTGATTCTGCAAATAGTGCAATTATTTTCTACCAATTTACTTTATCTGTTCGCCTTGATATCTTGACAACTTTGATGAAATCACCCATTAACCTTCAGGTTTTCCAGGAAAACACCCCTAGCTTGTATCATTTCTCCTCACAATTCAACCTTTATCGTTCTGATAAACCTGCAGTTGTACTCCCTTAGAGGTCAATATATTCTTCCTAAAGTGTGGTGCCTACAGTACAATGGGTTAAGCCTGAATGTGTAGTATGCTGGTGAAACACAGTATACATCATAGGATGATACAATGTCACAAGATCTCATAAAGTCAGAGTCATACAGGGCAGAAAAGGCCCTTCAGCCCATCTAGTCTGCACTGACAGTATGGTGGTAAGATGAAGCCACATTAATATGTTTCTGAAATAAAGTTGATGCTTTTCTGACCTCAAATTATTGTAAATATTCTTCAGCAGCATAATGACATGAAAATCACATACAGTGGCAATGGGTGAAAGAAAAGGTATGGAAAGGTCTGGTATTAGGCAAAAGTTTCAAACAGGTCACAGGTCCGAATCAAGCAAGACCAAACTGAATTCAATTGAAGATTTACAAATTTGGCTTCACTGTGAGGTTTAAACAATGATCAAGTCTGTACACCACTGTATGCAGTTAGTGGCTGCACAGATGATATCCTAGTTAGGCAAGGGATTGATAAAAAAAAAAGCTAAGAATGAGGAAGCAGTAAAAGCACTCAAAGTTGAATTCAATCTTTGGGAAAAAATACCACTGTCAAACAGGCCTTATTTAACACGTGTACCCGAAAACAAGGGGAAAGTATTGATGCATTTATCAACGATCTGTACAGACTTGCAGAGAAGTATGAGTAAGCAAATTGAAAGAAGAACTAATCAGGTATAGAACTGTTGTCAGACTCTTAGATAAAGTATTGTCTGGTCACTTGCAGTCAAGGAATGACTTGACATTAACAAAGACAATTGAAGAGAAAAGCTGAGTTCAGGAAGTAAAGTTGATTGGTTATTCAGGGTGACAGGGAAAACCATATCCCAAAGATGGAGTCTGTTCATTTCAAAAGGAGAGAAATGATCAGGCAAAAATAGGGGAGGCAGGAAACATGTGCATCAACTAATGGTTGTTGGTGAGAGATAGTAGGAACTGCAGATGCTGGAGAATCTGAGACAACAAGGCGTAGAGCTGGATGAACACAGCAGGCCAAGCAGCATCATAGGAACAGGAAGGCTGACATTTCGGGCCTAGACCCTTCTTCAGGTTGTTGGTGTCGGGGGAAAACACTGGTGCAAAAGTTGCCCGACTAAAGAAGCCAAATGTCATTTTTACAAGATTTGTACTAAAGTCTAATGGTTCAATCAAGCAGTGCTTTTTCTTACCTCACCAGGCAACAATATAACCAACACTTTTCAGAGAGGACCACAGTGACCAGCTGAACTTTAACAATAAATCCACTTAAAGGGCAACACTGGCATAGCCAGCATTGAAATTATAAGAACAGCATTGCTGATATACTCCGCTGTCAGTAATGGATAGCTTATCCCACTCAGCAACAGGGCCCCTTTGTAAATTATTCTCATACAGCTTGCCCAATGCAGTATTATTGTAATATCTGTAAACACACACAGCCCTCTTTCACGAACTGCAGCAATGTACAGACATACTTACTTCACTTGTTGTTACTGGATGAAGAGTTCCTCTGAATCTTGCAGATAGAAAGCCAACAGTTTTGTGTCTTTCACCCTGCTTCTTCCCGTGCTGTTTCAACCTTTACCCTTAGAGAAGCTTTTCAATACTGCTTTGAAGCTCTCTCCCATGCACATGTCACACAGTGCCCTCTGCTGGGATCATTACAAGATACAACCTCAGACGTTCCCACCCAACGACCTTCAAAGGATTTTGACCTTAAACATAGTCAATTGGGTTAATTTGCCGGGGAGTGTATTCACTCCAGTTAACTCATTGTTTCCCTCTGAGCGTATTATCTTGAAGCAGTCAGTCATCATAAACACATGAAAATAAGAAAAGGGGCATTTTGTACAAAAGCCATCATGGGGAAAATCCAGAATAAGAGAATATATTCATAAAACTAAAGCTAGGGCATTTAAGAGTAAGCATTTTGATTTATTTAAAAGATAATGGCAGTGTGTAGCACATACAAGATTCATTACAGCAGTTTTCCCAGGCTCCCTCAAGAACACCTTGCAAACCTGTGACTTTTGCTACCTAGAAGGACAAGGGCAGGAGACACAGGGGAACACCGTCACCTGCAAGTTCCTCTCCAAGTCACAAACTATCTGGACTTGGAACAACATCACTGTTGCTGGATCAAATTCCTGGAATTATCTCTCCAACACCACCGTGGTTATACCCATCCCAGATGAACTGCAGCAGTTTAAGAAGGCTACTGTTTCACTGCCATTGCCTCAAGGGCAATTATAATGGGCAAAAATCATGCCCACATCCTTCAAGAGTAGTAAAAACCAATTGGAAGTATCGCTGTCTAAAAAAGTTTAGGATACTTGTTCAATTACATGGAATGAACAGAACCAAGACAGAGCATTGGGCCCAAATGGTCTCTGTTAGTTATTGTCCTCCACATCAGCTTCCTTTCTCAGCACCTTTTCAGCTCACCCTATCAGCCTAGAGTCCTCCTTCATGTGCTTTTCTAGCTTCCCCTCAAATGCCTCATTTCTTCGTCTTCACTGCCTGCTGTTTTAATAGCAAAACCTGCATGTACATACCATTTGGAAGACAATCTAACATCTCAAAGCACTGTAGAGCCAATGAAGTACTTTTTCAAGCATGGGGACTGTTGCAATGCAAAAATCAAAACAGCTAACTAATGCACAGTAAGCTCCCACATGCAGCAATGTGACAATGACAGGTTATAATTGCGATGTTTACTGAAGGATATACACTGCCCAGGACACTGGTTGCATCACCGCTGCTCTTTTTCAAAACAGTGCCATGGGAGCTTTCATATCCAGTGATCAGACAGATGGCACGTCAATTTAACAGTGTATCCAATGATAGCATAATTGACCATTCTCAGTACTGCATTGGAATATCAGCTTTGATTTTTGTACCCAAGACATGGAGTGGGACCGGAACCTTGTGATTCCGAGGTGAGAGAGTTGCCAACAGAGCCGCAGTTATTTCAAGTTCTGTCGTCTTCTCACCTTCCAGATAAAGAATTCCATATTGGCTTTTTTGGACTCATATTTTTGTCTCCTAATTTTGGACTTCCCAACAGGTGGAAACATTGTTTCTATGTAAACCATTTCAAACCCTTTCAGAATTTTCAAAACCACTCTTAGGTCACTCCTCAGCCTTCTAACTTCTAGCAAAAAACAAAACTCAGCCCCCTGTAAATCTTTCCTGCTCATAATAATCACTTACTTCTGGTATCAACTTTGGAAGTCAATGATGTAGCTTCTCACGAGCCTCTGTATTAATTTTGAAATATGGAGATCAGAAGTGCTGAAACTATCAAATGATCAATAGATTTTTGGCAGGTAAGGGGATCTAGAAGCAAGTGAATAAATTGTGTTGAGGTACAGATTAGCCATGTCTTGCTAGAATGTCAGACCAGAACAAAGGTTGAATGGCTTCCTCCTGGATGATGATGAAGAGAGGTATGCACCACAATCAGACAGGATGTACTTTCTGATTTTGGGTGAAGTTGTTTCACTGCTGTGGCATGAATAGAAATTGAACTGGAATGAGTCAAATAGTGGTGTGCAGGAAAGATGGGCACTGATTTGTTAAATGACAATATAAAGACCTTGGAAAAGTAGGGGAGGGTGGAGATCAGGTGGGGTTGGGGAATGGTAATTTGAAAGGATGAGGTCACATGTGTGCTTTTGAGGAGTCTCACAATGTTGGTTTTGGGAAGAAAGGCATCCAGTAATCAAGGAAGGGGAAGAGATTACAAATGTCAGGGGATCAGGAATGGAAGCCAGGTGATGGTCAAGAGTTTATCAAAAATAGGATCAAGGGAGCCAGAGGTGGGTTTCAGTCATGAACCGAGAGAGTATGAGGAAGTGAAATTAAATGGATGTGGTCCAATCCCAAAGAAGAAAGAAAGGAATCTCCAAATGATATTGATAAAAGGCATAGAGGGAAAGGATTTCACTTCATAAAACTTTTACTGTAACAGTCAAACCAACAATCAACCTAAGACTAACTAACCAAAGGTATTTCACTTGATAAGATGAATTTCACTTTTAATTGCCAATACCACTAAAGATACATTTTAGAAAACTGTAACCTTTCATATCATACATACGTGGCCTTGCATGCAGTTTCAAACTTCTCTAAAATTACCTCTGTTAACTATGAACACTCTCATATTTCTCAATAAATCAATTCAGTTCTCAAATCATATCAACCACAGCTGCCTTTTGTCCATAGCTGTGTCCTGAGATAACGTTAACAGTGACAAGGTTCAAACCTACACATCCTCTCTTACTTGGGTCATGTGTGTCTTGATGTCATAGCTGTCCACAGTCACATATGAATTGGGAAAGCATGAGTCATTCATCGCTCAAGCCTGCTCCACCATTTGATTCAAAGATGGGTGCTTTAATTGTGGCTTCAACTCTACTTTCCTGTATAACCTTTGTCCTCTTTGATTCTCATGTCAGTTTAAACTCAATCTAACTCAGCCTTCAAAATATTCAATGATTGAGCCTCCATTGCTCTGGGGAAGGAAATTCCACAGACTAATATACCTTAGAGGGAAAAAAAGAATCCTTTTCTTTGTCTCAAATGGGAGACACAGTATTTTTAACTGGGTGTCTCCCTAGTTCAAATCTCTTACTCAAGGGGAAAGCAAGTAAGTATTGAGTTATTTTTCAACTAACCGACCAACAACATTCAGTTTACAGTCTGCTCCTCCAAACAAACTCTCAGCTACTTAGTATAGATGAGCTGTTCACCCCAATTTCAGGATTCAGTCCCTGTTAGTTCTCACATTCATTTTGCCAACAGATTCTGGAGTTCTATTTTCTTTCTTACTGCAAAACAAAAAACTTACCTTTCTGTAGGAAGCTTTGTTTCACTCCTATGAATTCTGCGTCCTATAATGGTGCCCCATTGCAGAGATTAGGCTAAACAAGGCACCACCTCAATTAGAGATAGTAGGAACTGCAGATGCTGGAGAATCCGAGACAACAAGGTGCAGGGCTGGATGAACACAGCAGGCCAAGCAGCA